TTTGACTGTGATTTGCGCTGATAGACTGCAGTATCTTATGCGCCTTATTGTGCGGAAAACACGGTACATGAGCTCCGGAGAAAATGGTATACAAAACATACATTGTCGGTTAATACATTTTGAAATTAAATTATTAAGGTCATTTAATTATTCCTAGTTTATGTTTTGATCAGAGTTGTGATTAAAGGTTTGGGTGGGCCGCAAAAGATTTTCAGATTTCAAAGTGGGCCGTGGCATTCTTGAGTTTGGGAACCGCTGATTTAGTGTATTTATTTCACACTTATTTCTTGCTGATTTGAAAGCCTTCCGGCCTTATTTAAATAATGTTTTTACAGTTTTTGTCAAAATCCCTTAATTGGCATTAGAGAATTCAAAGAGCTCTTTTCATGGCGGCCACCTGCACTACTTCCGGGTCATTTCACTCAGTGACGGACCTTCCTAAGCAAATTTGCCAACTCAAATCCATCCAGGGTTCATAAAGGGCTCCAAATGTCTGCCTGAAACCCTTGGCGGTGTGACAGTGGGACAGAACTAAAGCCTCACAGATTCAGTATCAGTCTGTGAGAGTGGAGATTGGGGATTTGGCCCTTGCCTCTTGCCTCAGACAACTACTCCGCCCGCCTCGGGCGTCCTCCTCCTTGGTGATTGGAAGCCCTGTGCCGATTGTTTCCACCAGTGCCTCGTTGCCTGCCTTGCGCCCGTGTATTTAGGCTGCGTCACTTCTGTGTTCTGTGCCAGTTAGTCTCAGTCTGATGCAGTGGGTTGCCGCCGTAACTCGACCAGTTCTTGTGCACCAGTGAGTTCTGCCTGCTGATTTGGATACCTTTGCCTGTGTGACTGACTAGAAACTACATTTTCTGTGTGGTCCACAGTCTTGACTACTGCAAGCGCTGCGAAGGAGACCAGCGTAAGAGACCAAATTTCCTTGAACCCTGCTTTGGCAACATGAGTGAGGCACCCTTAAAAAGCTACCAGGAGACTGGTTCCTTCCCGCTCTGCAGCTCTCAGCCCATCAAACTGAATCCACAGGCAGTCTCTGGATCCCCAAGAATGTCCCCCTGCAGCTCTCCCCTAAACTCCCCCCGGCACTCACCTTTGCTGTTTCGCAAGCTCGTCCTGAACCGCAGCATCGCCCTAAAGAGGCGCTTCACCTTGGCTGACGTGTCCAGGTATTATTATGAATAATTACAAACCTTTGGCTTTGATGTTGGATAATCAGGATTTACAGGACTTACTTTAGCCCTTTAAATGCCTGCAGTACGATTTGGTAAAGCAAGTTTTCGGTGTCCATTTTGTATTGAAAAATGTATTTAACTTAACCTGATTGGCCAAGTGGTAGAGATGGCTCAATCTGTTATTATAGAAATCCACTGCATGAATAAAAGAAGCTTTTAAAGCTTTTGAAGACCTTGACTTCAGTCTTTCTGATACCTTCCTAAACATTGACGTCAAGGGCTGATAAAGGTGGAGGGGCATTTTCACGACATCAAGATGTGCGTCACGGGTTTTCTGCCGCAAAAAAGGCATATTGTCTGTGATGAGAAGGTAACTGGGAAATCATGATGTTGTTGACGTGGGGACTGGTGTCCTCTCAATGGACCTTGTTGTTCTTGCAATGAAAGGTTGTCTTGTTTGGTGCCTAAGGTGTTCATCACGGCATTCAGCAGACCTAGCGTAGGTCACTTGGTGAGAAGAATAGATGCTAAATGAGGAGCTGGACTGCTTTTTTTTTTTTCTGACTTGAGGTGTCACTTGTGCAGAGACGACTGAGCTCAGGCCGATGCTTCATGCTTTGCCATTTGTTCCTCGTGACTGAAAATGGAAAGCAAGCTACTGTTGTCAGCAGAAATCAAGTTCATTGAATTTTGTTGCAACAATACCTTATTACCTTATTTGGAATCACATGTTAAAGACATTGTTGGTAATTCCAGAACAGAACGTTCTTTCTGACGTATTTGCTGATTTAAAAAAAAAAGAAAGTAACCATGTTCGTGCGAGGAAAAAGCTGGCGTCTGGTGACGTATGAAATGGATTTTCCATGGACCCAACCATGACCTGTAGGTCATTTGAGGAAACTCCTAGAAAGGAAATGTACCCTTCTCTCTCAAGCCTCCAGCTATCAGTTTGTAAATAGTATTAGGTTGTGAAATACACTATAGGTCAACAAGTAAACTACAGTATATTGCACAATAATATAATGAAACCCTTTTTGTGTAGAAAAGTATTTGATGTGAGTTAATCAAAATTTTTAGAATACCAATTTTGAAGGATCGGAATAGATTTTGCAGACATTCAGAGGAATTTTAATACTGAGAAATTACACCATGAATCCAGTTATATGACACAAGTCTAGTCACCCAACACCTATTCGTAAACTGAGGAAAGCTACCGTGCCAATCTAAGTGGTTTCAAGTAATTGTATTACTGGAAAAACCCATCGCAGATGGAGGACAACAAAGAGTGACGACCACAGGAAAGTATGTTATAGTCTAATGAGCTGAGTAGAGCTTCAAGTAAACCATGTATTGCACTACATTTTGGGTAAGCTCACCAAAAAAAGTGCAATCAGCTTTTTCATACATGGATGTTGTGATGGAGATAAAAATACAAATGCCCAAAATCCAGCTAATAGGCCATATTTTTTGGCTCCCTAATTATGAGTGGACCACAGGGATGAGTAGCTGGACCAGATGCACTGAGGTCAGAAAATCCAGTGAGTTACGGTACTTTTTTTGTGATTTTATATAGATAACTTCTTTATAAATGCTTAGATCATGAGCTTAGAGCTGCATGATGGGACGGTGTCCTAATGTGCAGGGAACATTTAGAAGAAGCCATTTCACAGTGCGAGCTGTTGGAGGTCAGGTATCCTGCTCAGGGACACTTTGCCATGGGACATGGATCAGCCGGGGCTCGAACTGCCAGCCCTGCGGTTCCCAGCGCACCAACTCCAATGCACCACGTCGCTCCTTGTAATTTACATAAGTCTTAAGTTGTAGTTATTTATATCTGGTTCATCGGTCTGTTTTTATTTATTAATCGATTGAATGTATTTTGTTATAACGTACTAAACATGACTATTAGTTTTGACCATTTCTAACAATAATGTATTTTATACAGTATCCCTTTTCTAGTCAAGTGTAGTTCTCGATTGCTCAGGGAAGTGGTGATGGTGGTTATGACGCTCGCTACAGAACATTTGTTCTTCATTTTGAAGAAACTTTCATGGCCACGCCTCCCTGGTGCCAGTAATGCATACTTGATTAAATCTAGAACTTTGCACCAGAGTCAGCTCTTAATGGCCCGTCCACGATTTAAAAGACAAGAGGTTTGAATATGCTTGGGAAAAGGTCTAGTCTAGAATGGAAACATTTATATTCCCAAGGGGGGGCATGAAGATGTCCTCACAAATATATTTACAGTCTGCATTTCGGGCACAACAATTGTTGTTTATTGGTGTGCTCTCACTGCTATCTTGGAATCTTTTGGTCTGAGGTGAGGTATGTGTTCGTGTGGATTGGGTGTTATCTCGGTTCTGAGCAAAGCACCATCCTGTTTTAGCTTCTGACTTCTTGTCACATAGCGTGTGAAAAGTTAATAAGTGTGGAGGTGAAATTCATTCCCTCACTTCTCCGACTGCCTTTCTCACGCAGGCAAACTTAGTCGCGTGTGCATGTGTGTGTTTCTATAATGAGGATTGCACGACACCTCCCACCCCATCAGGACGCTCTGTACGGCTCCTTCAGCCACCGGCTGCATCGTCCCTGGTGTGTGAAGAAGTACTGCAGGTCCTTCTTGCAGCTGTCAGGCTGCACAATCAGCTTCCAGTAGACTACAAAACACTTGCATGTTGAGCTATATATATATATACATACACACTGTGCAATAACAGCTATGTTGTCAGTGTCTGTGTGTGTGTGTGTGTGTGTGTATAATTGATTTCAGTTATTGTAGATACTTTTTATTGCATTTTTACTGCATAAGTAAAATATTTGGATCTTAGTCTTATTGCACTTTACCCTACGCTGCTGTAAATCCTTTGGATTTTCCCACAGCAGGACTAATAAAGGATTCTTAACTTGACAGTAGTCCAATATTTAGTCTTCAGTATTCTGTTTTTCCTCCATTTTATATTTAGACTGGAGCAGTAATGGCAACTAGTGTATGTTAGGTTTACGATAATTCTCACAGAAATAGTTCTCTGGTTCTAGTGCCTCAAGTGGGAGGATTTGTTGCTTATAAACCGAATATCTGTGTTCCTCCTTGGTGATTGTGTTGGTCACACAAGATTTAAGGACCAAGATCATCTTGGGCTCTGAGCAGTGGGAATTGTTTTTTTTTTTTTTATATGGAAGAAACTATTGATTTACCAAAAAAGCTGAATAATATATTACGAAAATATTTTAGTGTCTGCTGTAAATCTGAATTTGTGTTAGTTTGCTGCCCTGCACCAACTCAAACAATATCCCCCTGTAATTGCGTAGCTTCGGGGCAGCACAATGGTCAGGTGGCCCGATGATCTCACGTGGCACTGAAGGTTGACGCAGCTCCGTCAGACGCACAAACACCCACGCAGATCTCCCCTCAACAAGTTAGGACTCGCCAACATGTTTCTCCCTAACGCTCCACATCGGAGTTCTTATTGTAGTACGCTTCGTTTTTTCCGTTTCTCAAAGCCGGAAACGGTCAACGCTTGACTGTTTCCTCTTTTGTCTTGGATATTGAACGGGGGGAAAATGTTCTCCCTAGAATGGCCTTTAACTTCATCCAAAGCGTTCAGGTTGAGCTTTTTGTGTGTGTGTCTGCATTGCACATCCTGGTGGAAAGCTGACTCCACAGCTCCCGAGCAGTTGGTGGGCCGTCCTAAGCTCCCACAGCGACCTCGGGGGAGTCCGCAAGCTCTCACACTGCAGGAGGAAGAGGTCAACCCCCGCTGACGCTCTGCCCCGTCATCGCTCTCATGCAACAGCTCAACCACACCCCCTTTCTTGCAAACAGAGTGACTGGCAGAAGCTACTTTTGAAGGTTTTTCTTTTTCAAATTTACCTCCAGCTCTCCTATGCGATGTGCAGCGGTGCTTCTGAAGTCCTTTTTAGGAAGGTGATCAATGCCACGTCTTGCATTACTTGGAGTGTTTGCAACAAGAACAAATCAGAAAGGGAGGACGGCTAACTGTGGAAAGAATTTCAATGCAGCCGAGTCTTCAGTTACAACATCTCCCTCTTTGCGGCTTCCTCCTGGAGTGACTAATTGAACATCATACAGCCTTGTTGGGGCTTGCCTGAGACTTCAGTGGGAGAACTCTGCAACGTTCCTGAACAGTTTTTCATTCAGTCTGAAGCCTGGGAGGGTTAATGACATCGGTCCTGCGTCCGACGCTCAATTTTGCTTTTGTTTTCTCCCCTGGAAACCGTTCTGGTTAACTCAATGCAGACTCCACGGAGCGATACAAAAACAACTGAGTTGTCAAGTTGAAGAATCCAGAGGAGGCTCGAGTTTCAAATGTTCAGCTTATGCGAGTGTCCTGCGTGAGTCAGGAGCTCAAAGGACAATGAACAAAGACCTCCGAATGGCCAGGAAAGGGCTGCCGATGGGTTTCCGACACGGTCGGAGACACTCGTGTTTGGGGTACGTTCCTAATCTATGCATCCTGTGGCTTTTTTTTTTTTCACCACTCGTATTCATGAGGGGGAGTTAAAGCTTCGCTGTCTGGGCAACCGGAATCAACAAGCTCAAAAACCGAACGCTTTCATGGTATGAACATGGTAATGTTTATGCATACATGGTTTTAAAAATGGTTACGGGTCAAGTTTGAATATTGAGAGAAGTTTCTAGACTGTCATTTGTTAATGTGATTTATTTATTTATTTTAAACATTGTAGCCTGGTGATTACATGGCAGTTGATGTTTCATCCTTTTTAAAGGGAAATTAACTAGTGTCACACATCTGATTTTCTCTATCCGGACGGCCTAATGGGGTCATTTTTTCCTGATATACAGCATAAAGATTGACATGCTTATGACTTCCAAACATTCATGTTATCTGCTAATTCATGACAATTCCACAAGTGCAGAGTAAGTCTGGCGAGATTAAAAAACACTGTACATTGACGATACAGCTTCATAATTATTTCAAATTAATTGATTCACTTTGACTTATACAAACTATTATATTCGGGTGAAAGTTTCCCCAATTGTACCACTACCTGTAACGTCTATGCGGAAGGTGTTGACAGTGCTTACCTGGGGCGATCACAGCTGATCCCGTCCTCCGGTTACCCCACATCAGAACAGTGCAGAGCGACGACCGTCTGCGTGCGCACTAAACGCACACAGAATGTTCCACACATATTTTCATAATAAAGATTTAATATTAAATAGTAATTGAGGTCTGCACAGTAGACTGCGTTGTCTGGGCTCGTAAGGAGGGAGGTGTGTCACCCAACACTCTTATTGGCCCAGTGAATGACTTCGTAGTAGTTCTTGAGATGAAATGTTCCTTATCTGCAAACATTTTACCCAACTGCTTTTCAAAGGAAACCAGTTTGTGGCAAGTTTCAGTCCACAGACTTCCTGTTTTTACTGAGAGTCACCAAACGGTATTTTTAGCACAATAACCCTGAGACAGATGCTTTGCTAAGTGAACACACCACTGAAGGAAGATGTTAAACGGCTGAGTTATGGTAAATAATGCGCCCTACACTATACATGCGTATGTTGTGCCTGAGACATTGTCTGCAGAGGGGATGATGGTGGAGAGATGCTCCGGCTTTGTGTTGCTCATGTCCAATGAGTGACTTACTAATGGCACACTGCTGAGGAATGCACTGACCTTCTCTCTGTGTCAAGTTATAAGCACATGCATGTTCCTAGCGCGCGTGTGTGTGTGCGCGTGTGCCCATGCCCGTTCCTGTCTTCAGTCCTGCTGGGCACCGCCCAGCGCTCCAGTTTCCAGTCACTAGTTGACTGAGCCTCCCATTCCACATTCCAGTATGATCTGGAACACATGCCGCGCAACATCAACAAGTATTCAAAAGAATAACTTCTAATCCTATCTGATGCTTCTGGGTCTAAGTGGATCATTTTGGAAGAAAAAAAACCCTTTTAGATCTGTTAATGATCTAGATTTTTTTTAACTAGTTCTAATCTTTGTGTTTTGGTGGTTCGTTTAAATCTTTCCTACAATTCATGAATTTTAATAAAGTAGTAGTATTGAGTCCAATTTAGATGAATACGCTTTCTGACTGTCTTGGCTCAGGATGTTAACCTGTAAACTGGAAGTACAAAATATGTGAAGCTTTCAAGGGAAGGGAAGTTTATTAACACATGTCAACAAGGCAATTCAATGTGCTTCACATAAAACATTTAAAAAAAAGGAAATTTAAGAATAAGAAGTTTCAGTGCAGTTAATGAAATAAACAGTAAAAATACTAATGTCCTGTGTTAACTTGGAAAGTATATTCACTTAAATAGTTGTCCACTGAGCCAAATTTGTAGCCCAAGGGTTTAACACAGTGGTGCTTGAGCTCACTGAATAAATATTTATATATTTGCAGTATTACGAAAATGTTTGTGACATATTTTGAAAAATGACATTTCACACATTCCATCACATACAAACTAAAATGTAAGTATGTCTCTGAAAAACTGTTCACAAATGATTCATGTATGAATAAACCCGAAGACCACATATCCAGACATAATAGATCTATAAAGCATTAACACACTTCTGAGTAGAGCAAAGCTACCACCTTGTGGCGAAATTTCAAATACATTGAAATATAGAAAACCCGTACGGAACCCCTTGCAATGCATCATATCTTGCAGAGGTTTACACGGTTTGAGCTGTTTTAGAGAGCCGATGATTGGACTGATTATTTTTGAGTTTGCTGTTAAATTGTAATTCTGAGGTGTTGTGTTCCACTTCATTTTTACCAACCAGGTTTAAGCTGCTGTGTTTCATAGCGTTAGTTTTAGCCATATTCTTTCCTCACCCATCACATATTTACCTGCTCTACATTCCTACAAGGAAGGAGAACCCAGTGGGCTTTGATGCAAGTGGAGGATATGTTGGGAGGAGTTAGGACCCATAAGTAGAACTCTTGACAGCTTTGCAAAAGTTCACAAACAACTTTTATTTGAGAAGTGGGTGTTGAAAGTTGATCTGTCGGGCAACGAGAGCTGAGCTGTCGGCGTGGAAGTGGACTGCTGAGTGAGGCAGGCGGTGAATGTAGAAGGCCCCAGACAACCAGATTATACTGAGCGCGCACACACAACCCTTATTCATGTTTACATCATGTAATAGGAAGAGGTTATCTATCTGTACCACATGTGCAGCCAAGGTTAGATAGAAGAGAAATGTCACACACTTGAAGAGGTTCTATCTGAATGTAATAAGCCGTCAGCTGTGTGAAGTGGGTGAAGCTGTTCCTTCGGTCTCTACCAAAACCTTAAATGTATCATACTGGTGTTTTTGGATAAAAGTTGATGTGTACATTTTTAGAGGGGGGTTTTAGCACCGGAAAGGTAGTGTGTTGTTGGACGTAGGGTTGAATTATTCTTTCACACTCCTCTTACCTCTGACTTTTTCTAAATCTTTTGTGACATTCTGATGGGGTTTTTTTGTACATAAAGAAGTAGTCCCTCTTAAATCCTGCAGGAGGATATAAACATGTTCCACTGAGCATCAAAAATCTGTCTAATTGCCACAAATTAGACAAATACATTAAGGAACTCTATGTAAAAACGACAGAAACCGTAATTGGGAGAAGTCAGATCAATGACTCTTCAATCACATTGATCGATGAATGATCAATGTCATGATGACCAATGTGGCCTGAACGGGGATTTTCATTTTGACTAAACGGCTCTCTGTTGATCTCCCGTTTTTGTTAAAGGGATTTGCATGTCACTGCACTTTAACAAATGTGCCAGATGAACCGTTTCTCCACCAGATGGTGCGAGTCTCTCTCTCTCTCTCTCTCTCTCTGTGTGTGTGTGTGTGTGTGTGTGTGTGTGTGTGTGTGTGTGTGTGTGTGTGTGTGTGTGTGTGTGTGTGTGTGTGTGGACAAAGTCTGACAGAACTCTCGCTGAGCGTCCTCTTCATCTGGCATGGCTTTAGATGCCCATGTGCTTATGCGCCCGGAATATAAAAAGGTCTATAAGTTTGATACCCTGTTTCATCTGAAAACTTGGTAGAGAAACGCACTCTCCCTGCTGGTAGCTAATCCTCATTAGCAGACGTCGCGCTGTCTTTAGAGCTAGCAGCCAGCTGGACCGTAGAAGTCATGTGACAGGTGGATTTGGTTACACAGGGGCCTCCCACCCATCTCATTCTGAGCAAACCTCCGCCCGGCATCTGTTCTGGGGTCCAACGTGTTTCACAAGCACATTGCACAAGGAGGGACGAGCCCATGTTGGGAGGGTTTCAGTTTAGTATAACTAAGGCTAAAATGAAAACACGGTAAGCGCTTAATGTGATATTGGAAATCACTGTGTGAAAAACGTAATATATTTTCCTTCTATAGCTCTTGCTATAAAATATTGATCACAAAAAAAAGGTTTTGTTTAGGAGTGTAAGTGCTGGTGTGTGTGTGTGTTTGTTCAGTCCTGTCAATAATCTTGCTGTTACTCAATTCTAGAGTCCACAATAAGCAAATATAAAAATGATCCCTGAATATCGCAGTGCAATGGCAAACTTCAATGGCTGTAACTTCAGTTAAGGGTCTCTGAGGCTAATTGGTCAGCAGCTTCTGTGATTTAACATCACTGGGAAAAAGTGTTAAGTGTGTAAGTGAACCGTGGGCCAGATACACACAATGGGAAGTCCCCGCTCTGCAGATAAGTAACAGTGCTTTGCCAAACAGGTGTTGAACTGTGACTGAAAGCGTGTCCTGGGATGGTTAACACTTGACTGCAAAGTGGTTCAGATAAGGGTCAGCGACCTCTTTGAGGCCAATCAAAGTGGGAATTTCTCCTTTTCGGGTTGGGTGTGTTTCCCCCACGTCAAGATGCTCAAGTGTCTCGAGCGAGTGCGATGCAGCGGATTTGAGCATTTACAGTAATGTGGATATTTGGATACGGTGCACGGCTTTACGCACCGCCTGTTTGGCAGCTGCTGCGAGCCTGTGCGTAATGCCACCTGTGGAGGCTTCCTTTTAGCCCTTTTGGCTCGAGCCACGGCCAGGTGGGTCCCCGACGGCAGCAAAGGCCTGTGGCTTGGCCGGCCTCCATCAAATGAGTCACTGACACGTCTTTCGGTTTCTGTTTGGGGACTGGATTTGATGTCATTTGTATTTGAATTCAATTTCAATAGTTCGTTTTTTGGGTAAGAATCATTGGCGTTCAATGCAAGTTTGTAAAATAAAGGATTTTTATTCCAACATCAAAGTTAAAAAACAGATGAAATGAGGATACAAATAGTTGAATATTTGGGTCCATCGCTACGTTATACAAAACTGTTGTGGTTAACAGGGAAATGTGGTTTGCGTCCCGAGCCAGCTCCACTAAAGGTAGGATAGGTTTAGGATAATTAATACAACAAAGCCGACACTGTTTAACCTCTTTCCTGCCATTTATTGTTTTAACACGGAGAACGGCGGTCAGAGTACGCAGGCTCCAGGGCTGCT